AGCTGCGTGAACACCAAGGTCAATGGAGGAACGGAGGAGGAAGGAGTGGGGGAGGTGTGCCGGAGCAGAGACCCCCCCTGCAGCCCCTGATGAGATGGCAGGGCAGGCCCCCCCTGCCACCCATGGAGGTCTACGGTGGAGCAGATGCCAACCAGTGGTCTGTGGGGAACCCTAACTCATCTCAGGGGATTCCGCCTGAAGGAGGCCGGGATCCTGTGGGAAGAAGGAGCCCCCGCTGTTGTAGTTCAGTGCCGGGAGGATTGCAGCATGCGGGGTGTCACATACAGGAGGTGCATCCTATGGGAAGGACTCCTGTCAGAGAAAGTTTGTGGAGGACTGTCTTCTGTGAGAGGAGGACCACGCTGGAACAGGGGGAAGAAGTTCCAGAAGCTCCCTGCCATCAAAGATGGAAGAAGCAGCAGCACTGACTGCACCCCCCCATTCCCTGATCCTGCACTGCTGGGAGCGGAGGTAGAGATATCAGGAGCAGAGCTGAGCCCGGGAAGAAGAGAGGGGTAGGGGAAGATGTTTTCAAGGTGTGTTAATGCTTCTTACTGTCCTACTCTGTCTGCTAAGTGTTGTTTCTAGTGTCTGTATTAAATTTATGTTATTTTCTTCTTCCCCTAACAAGTCTGTCCTTTGCCTGTGACCATAATGAGTGTGTCATCCCTTCCTGTCCTTATCTTGATTCCTGAGACTTTTTGGCTTAATTTTCTCCTTCCCAGTTCTGGGGGTAAGAGTGGAGTGAGTGGCTGCCTGGTGCTCACTTGCCCTCTGGGCTCAAACCACAGCAAGCACTAATGCAGACATGAAGAATTAGGTCATACAATGCTAATCATTCAGGAGAACTTCCCTAAAGTCTAAAATACCATTTGCATAAGAAAGGGGTCCAGTGTCCCTCAGGAGACCAAATTCAGGCCTGAATGGAAACAAAGGTGCCCTGATTTCCCTCTTCTTCTCATCATGTTTTATTAGATACAGCTTTACGATATAATCAAGGTTAGACATGCACAAAGGCTGCACCAGGGCTGAGGCAATTTCACCTCTGCATCATCGAAAGGGGCTACCTTGCCACTTTTCTTCCACAGGATTGGTGCTCAACTGCTGGCATGATCTGGTAATTTAAGAAACAGAAAACTAATCACTCCAAAAAGTTCTAAAATTGCATTCTACTGGATTAGTTTTCCGAAGAGGCTGAACATGGTGTCAGACAAGCACAAGGGAGATAATGGGAACTTGTGTTCACAGGAAAGGGAAGAAGCATATTGAGGCTGCATATATTTCCACTACCCTACAATCAAGTTAGGTTATTTTAATTCTGAAGTGTTGTAACCATGCTGTTATGTGATCTGAAGTGCTGGTGTGTTGCTCTTGCGTTATCCAGCATGGCATATTTGGTCAAGCAATATTTCTTTTTCTAGAGGAAGACTTGTCTGATCTAAAATTAAAGTTAGGCTGACTTTCACTGGAAATTTTAAATGCTAAAACAAACCAAACCAGAAAACCCTAAATTCAGTGTCAATCTCTCATTTACCCAAGTAAAACAAAAAAATGATCCCAGATTGCTGAGATAAAAACATTTTCATTGCAAACTACTGTGAGAAGAAATGTGGGGGAATTCTAACCAAACCAAAAGCCCTGCTGAAATTGAAGAAAATAGGTAGTTTCTGTTAAAGTGTTTGTTCTGTTTGGGAGGGGGAAAAAATGGTGCTGAAATGTCAACTAAAAAGGAAGAAGGAAGGGTCCATTACACCTGTGCTTTATACAACGGAAGAGGTCCTATCCTATAGCCAACTGAGGAACAATAAACTGTGCTTGTGAATGCATGTGTGGGCACAATCTTCACACTGATACAGTGCATTTATGTTATGTTAGTACTAAGTTTGAAAATAAAAATCAAAACCAAATTGTCTTACATTTGCCCCTCAATATGAAAGAATGTAATTGAACTTTCCTTTTAAATGGATCATTTACTGTATGTGTTCCTGTATGTATGTTGTCTGCCCATCATTTTAAGAAACCTACGTTGCATGGGTAGAATGACCTAGACTGTGTTTAGCCTACATAGTGTCATACAACTTTTTCTTTGGTTCATGATTTAAACATAAGTGAAATTACAGTATTGCTTTTTAAGGTACTGTTGGCAGAGAAGTCCACTGAAATGAGTAGATTAGTTTATTCTTCAGGGATATAGCTTCCAGTTCTCTGCATTAGTTACACTCTGTTCTGAAGATTTTCTTAGCAGCCATAATAGATGGAGTTTTTTGTCTCAGTAAGAGAAGAATGAGCTATTCCTAAGTGTTTACAAAGCTGGGAGAAGGGACTTCAGAGTTTGGAAATTCTGCTCTATAGCTGACACTCAAAAGTAGACTTTGAGGTTGTAATACCTTCAGTGAGTAAACAGAGTCTCTGCTATTATAGGTCATCTGTACAATTAGAGTAATGAAAACACAAAACATATTTTTGAAATATTCTGCTTAATTTATGCTTTTCAGAATGGATAAACTCTGCACTTAAAGGGTGCGTGTCACCTATTAGACTTGTCTAAAGTTAGAGGTCTACAGGTATAGCTTAATGATAATTTCTTTTGGCAGTCTTGTGGCTTATGTCTTTGTAGGTTCACCTTTAAATTAGAGAATTCCCAGTGTTGGGACCTAGCAAGTTCAATGAGATGGCTGAGGCAGTGAAGGAAAGGCAAGATTGGGGACACAGAATGAGGTGGTTTAATCTGGTAGAGAAATGAGAAGAAATGCTTGTTAAACTGCAGCATGGAGCTGTTGTCCTAAACCTTCCTTATAGTCAGTGGACACCATGGGAGGTGATCCAGCTGGTTTAGGAATAGAGGACTCACCGATTGGAAGTAAGTTTTTTTCTGGTTAATGAAAGGTAGTCTTAAAACTACAGGAAATGTCTGAACCTCAGGGTGAAAGAGGTATCACTTTTTTGTGACTGGATTAAAAACCCCTTCCTTGTGATTTATTCACATCTATTCAAATAAAAGTCTAAAGGAGAAAAGTAGTCTGGGTTGGAAACTTTAATTTTTTGTGTCCATGCAGTGCTCATTGAAACAGATCAGTTACAACCTCTTCACAAAATAACACTGGAAACAAGATTAGAGGCTACTTGTGTGAGATGCCACTGTTAGGAGGAACATGGTAGATGTGAGATCATTGTAATTTCTGAGCTGTTGAAAGAAATATGAGAAGGTAAAGATATCGACAAATATCTCAAACTGTGTGTATGAAATAGTGTGTGATAAATTATAGATACAAGAGGTTGTTTCAGAAATACCCAAAAACTATCTTTGCATTATTGATGCTGTCAGACGGAGCCTGAGAAAATTTCAACCCTAAAATTTCTGTTACTTTGTGGTTCAGCTGTATGAGGTCCAGTACAGGAAGTAAAATATTCAGCAAACATCATTTTCTTCCCTCAAAAAGTTAACTGCAGAGTTGATAGGTTTGATTTGGTGTTGTGAATATCTAGAAAAATAGGTACAGCGTACGTAGCAAAAGAAGTTCACAGATCCATTCCCTCTGCTCATATATATTCTTACCAGACTACAGTGAATATAACATCTCCTCTGGCTTAATGTATTTCCTCCAAAATGCTAGAATAGTTTGTGTTTCACAGATCAATTTCTTAGTAAATGCAAGATTTTTCCATGCATTTCCTAAAAAATTCCCACTAGAAATTTCCTTTGTATCTCATGACTTGGTAGGGGCTCATCCCTCCCCCTCCTCTTCCTCCTTTGGACTGATCATTTATCTTATTAGGGAAAAACAGCTTATGTGATTATTTCTGGTTGTTATGCAGCAGTGGAAATCATCCAGTCTCTTCTTCCTGGCCTGCGTTCCCAAGGAGCCACCAATTACCAAGTCTGAGTTTTAACCACTCCTCATAAATCAAAGCTATTAAAATCATTAAACAATGATGTAATTTCAATCCAAAGTATAGCTCTATTGCATTTGATTATTATCAAAATGATCATTTTCTCTTAAGTATTTAAATGGCCTTTTTTAATACCTGCACCCAGCTGCACTTTATCTCTCAATGTATCTCTTCTGCATGTCTTCAGCTCACATCTGCCAACACGATGGACTCTTACCGTGGCAGTGAAGAGCCTTGTGAAGAGCAATGTAGCTGTGGGAATGGGGCTGGATTCTGCTTCGCTTAGTGACAGCACAACTGTCAGCTCAAAACTTTCTCAGCAGAATCTGATTAATGACGATGGAAGGGACAGAAAAAAGTGCAGCTGGGGCTCTGGTTCCCAGAGATGGAAGCCCTGAGGGTAGAAAACTCATCTTTTGGCTGAGCATATTTGACATGGGAGATATTAAGAGAAAATCAGCCTGTATTCCCATTACACCTTTTCAAAGTTAAACTGCACCTTGATCAATTCTGACTAAATTTCCTTCTCATGATACTCTTCTCAAAATTATTCTACACTCTTCCTTTGTCAGAGCAGAATCTACTCTTCTCTTGAATATACTAACCAAAGATACATCAATTTGCTATGGAAGCCATGTGTCAAGCTTAAGATATTTCTAATAAGAAAGGAATCTGAGTCTTTTTTAGCACTAAATCTGCCTTATAGTCTCAAATGTCAAACATAATTGTAAAAAGATGCTGTAGCGCTTCCCAGTGCATGTGAGTATGTGCATATCTGTGTGTGTGTGTATATGCACATCAATATATATCAATTTATTAAGGTTTTTTTACAATTTCATACCTATTTCTGTTTTTTTCTACAACTGATCCTATTTGTATGCATATTTCAGTAAAAGGGATTCTAAAGAAATTTAAGAAAAACATAATATCAACTACAGAAAAAGAGTTTCCATCTAGATGTTAGTAATAGGACATTATAAATGAGGCTTATTTTAATTTCCCAGCTAGAATGTTAAAGCTGGTTAGTATGAAATCCTCTCTTTTCTTCCATCCACATAATTACTATTCTGTAGCTGGCTCTGCATAATTTGATTATATTATGTTCTCAGGGCCGTTGCTGGAGTTGACGGAGACTCTGATTTAGTTCATATGGAAATCCGGGACCCCAGTGGAGGTATGCAAATGAAAATGTTATCAGTTGATACCCTAGCGTATAGTCATTTCTCTTTGTTTTAGAGAGTACTTTTTGGATTGTTTTTAAAGCTAGTCAGAAGACCAATTGTGCAAGTCAGATTCCTTCTCTGTTTATCTGTAGTCAGCAAAGCTGTCCTGATGTATAAAAATATAGTATAATTTAGAATTTACTTGTTTTTCACTCTAAGATGAATTGACGTCAGGATGCTATGCTCTGTTGAAAATGTCCGTTAATAGTGCATTTTATTCCGGCAGTTAATATTGAACATTTTTTCCTGATTTGCAAATAAAACTGGCAATGCAGTGTTAGTGCTGGGTAAATGTCTGATAAAGTGAATCATTGCATATGTCAGCCCTTCTGCAGTAACCACCATCTACCAGAATTTCTTCATGTTACAATATCTGGTATACTGAGACTTCAAAAGGAAAATAAATGAAAAAGTATATTTGTAGTCAGGATGTGCTGTACTAAAGAGTCACCATGATTCCAAAAGCTTGTATAGTTTCTTGTTACCAATTGTACTCTTGAAAGATAATTTAATTCCTTGAATAAGATCATCTAAGTTCCTGTGCAGTCTTAAAAATGGGTTGTAAAGAATGAACAGTTTGACTTTACCTAATCCAGTTGCTTTTCTTCATTTCAGCCCTATTAAAAAAACAAAGTTGCCATGTTAAAATCTGGATGACAAAGTTTCTAAATCTTTTAGCGGTGAGATTTCTGAGACATGGTGACATTTACACTGCCCCATTAGGTGCTCTGCTTAGCGACAGTGTAGGAAGATTCTTCAGGAGCTGGATGGAAAGAACTTTTTTTATATTTAAGAGAACCAGCAGAAAAACTCTCATGAAATATCTCCTGGCTGGGTTCTCAACAAACTGACTTTGTGCACTTATGGTCAGTACAAGCATCGGCATTGATTTTAGTGGAAACAGCATCTTTGTACCACCTATCTGATGAAGAACTATAAAGCTTGTCACGTGAATTATGAATAGCTGCAGTACTTTTTGATGGTCCACTGCTGTGCTTGCTGAAATATCCTTGTGATGATGATTTGGACATAAGCATGAGAACTTGAATTGACTCTATCTATCTCTTAAACAGATCCAGATTTTAAAACAAATATTTGTATGTAGTATACTGGTTTGGTCTTTCCTAATTAAAAGTCATGAAGTGCATTTCCTATCACACTGCAAAAATAATGAAGGACATGGGGGTGCATTATTTTATCGTTTATATTATATCTGGAGTACGGGGAGAATTAGTCATCTGTACACAGCATTGTGTATATAACATTTTTCTCACTGTACTTGGGAAAGTCACTGAAGTACTTTGTGCTCACAAGCTTGTGACAAAGGGTGAACTGTACAAAGGCCTGAATGTAGGAGAAGGTCTGTGGGCCACAGCTGGTGTAAGATATGATTAATGGCTCTGCTCTCTCTGATAAGAGCAATCTGCATCAAAGATGCAGTGATGCTGTTCTAATAGGCCAGGCAGAGAGGATATTCCTTGCCCATTGCTAACTGGAGAGGAGGAGAGAGGCCATAGCCTCCACTGATATAAATCAGTCCAGGCTTTTTCAGCAAGGTATTAGCTCTGAATATAGAAGTCCTGCCCCAAGAGAGCAGTTCCAATAGTGTGTTAATAGCGTGTCTTAACTTTCCTACAGAGCTTTGAAAATAGCCTTTAAGATTCTGCACTCTGTCTATCAAACGGAGTCTGATACTCTTCTCACTCATCACAGTTTTATACCGGGGTTGATCTATTGGTTTTGGTTATGTTGTGTCAGGCTGCTATTTCTCCAAGTGAATAATTTGGCTCTGTGCATAGGTTAAGTGAGAAAAGAGGCTCCTTCTATTATCCCCACCCATGAATGTCTCATTCATCTAACCCCTAATCTTTCTGGACCAGCAAAATTTGGATAATAACAGGCTGCCTCTTGGGAATGATCTGAACTTTAAGCAGATAATATATTCTCTGTACATTGGTGATTGAAAAATTCTTGTATGAGGGTTTAATACAATCATTTTACAACTAACTCACCTGGCAAAGACAGCACTTTCCCTACATGAATAACATTTTATACTGCTTGCTTCTTTTTCCCTTGATAGCCCTGTCATATGTTTCTGTCTCTCTTCCCTCAGGTTATCGCTACATCACTTGCCAGATTCAAAATTGCTCTGATAAGACAATGACAGTCCAGTTTGCTGGTGGCACTGATCGGGATTCCCTGACTGTGCAGGATGACTACATATTTCTTCAGGTACTGCCACTTTCTGGAGAGACAGCCCATTTTCAAATTCAAAAATCAAATTTGAAATAGTGCAGCAACACTGTAATTTAGGAGCATTGAGAAACCTGTTCCAGAGTATGAATAAAGACTTAGGAATTTTTACATTGAACAAAACATTCCTTTATCAGTCAAAAAACGAACCACTGCATCTTTAATTTGTGCAACCAGTTCCCTACTTATATGGTTGATTTTAATTTATCACTGACTAGCTGTACCTATATGAAAATTTTCAAGTGGACTTTTAAAAATATTGTTGAGTGTTAGGCAAAATACAACCTTTCTGTTCTTATGCTTATAACCTCTTCTGGGTCCTTTCCAGTACCTCTGTAGCATAAAAAGATTCCCTGAAAAGAGCATCCAAGGAAAGCCACTGACAGAGTAGGGGCTCAGCATCTCTTCCCTGAAGAGGTTTTGCGAGGGAAGAACTTATATGACTGCATTCAGGAAGCGAAAGCGTGAAATAGAAGTAGCTGGGGATCTTGGAGCAACTTAAAATAGAATGATAGAATCTTTTAGGTTGGAAAAGACCCTTAAGATCATTGAATCCAAATATAAACCTAACACTGCCAAGTCCACCACTAAACCATGTCCCTAAATGCTATGTCTACAACTTGTGATGGTCCAAATTACACTGGGGTTACTTTGTTCCCAACCTACAACACCTGCATGCAGAAACCTGGACTGGAACTCAGGCAGCCTTATGGCACCACTACAGCTCAGGCACCCTTGAAAATTTCATTTTATGTGCTTGGAACTGCTTGTGATCTGAAACTATCAATCAGAGCTGTAAACCTCTCAAAGAGTAATTATGTCCTCCCTGATTTTTAAGATTTTTACTAAGGAAGTTGCTTGTACTTTCCTCAGTAGTTGGATATAATTTTTCCCTTACTTTGATATGATTTGCTTGTTACAAAGCTTGTCTATTTATTGACTTTTGCAGGAAAGCAATATCTTCGCAATGGATAGGTCTCCCTACTGCTGCCTCTGAGTACATCAGATTGGCTTCTTTGCAGCTTTCCCCCCTTGTGGCTTTTTTCTTCCAAAAGGATCTGTAAATTAATGGGCACGTGAAAGACCTGTGCTCCTCTTGTTTGGCACATCTGTTTCAAGGGCCCACATGGCTTATAACATTTAGCACCACAAAGAAACAGCAAAATGGATTTGGGAAAGAGTTTTTGAATTAAAGTAGATATTTCTCAGCTCAGGTCTAGCACTCATGGCACTCATTTCGCTCCAAGGTATCTTGGCTCTCCCCAGGCACACTCTAAAATCCATTTCATGTGTGTAGATGGTGAGAAGTGCTTCTCACTATGTGGACTTCCAGACTGCTGTGCTCAGCAAAACACTGGCTGCTTCCTCTTCAAGCATTTTGTTTTGGCAGACGTCTTGTAGAATTGCATCTTGAGCTGTTCTTATTCTGTCTCATGCCAGGCATGGGCAGACACAAAGTGCATCTTGGAAATGTACACGTAAAGTAATAGACAGTTGCTACTAGGAAAATAATGCCATTGGCAATGCAGTCTATGTAGATTTGAGACCTGTCAATGCCAGTAGATGAGATGTGCATGTATTCCACATAAAGAGGAAGCACGTCTAGTCTTTTCCTTTCAGACTTATCTGCAGTAAATCCCAATATGTAATATAAATCTCTCTTATTGCTAAATTGGTTTACAATTAACTGTATCTATATTACTGGAGCATAGACAATAACTCTGGGAATCTGTGGCCACATCTTAAGTGTAGCCACCCCTGAGGTGTGATGTAGGACACTACTTACCTGTTTCAGTGAAACCACCCAGCAGCTGCACATCTGAGAAACAGCATATTTTCAAAACCACATGGAAATTCTTTTATCACTAGACTAAAATATTGCTATATAAGTTAGAATCAGACTAGGGAATCCTCTTAATATCACAGCAATATCAGTCAGAAAGAAGATGGGACAGAATCATCTGTGCAAAAAGAGAGGAGAGTTTGAGACTGTCTTATTGCCCCTGGCATCACTCGCATCCCCAAATTATGCAGCTGTGAATCAGAGCGTTGCAGGTCTGCGCTGCTAATCCTGACCCTAAATCTTAGACTTAGCATCTCAGAGGAAGATCACAGCCCCATCTCTTTAGTCTGTATCCACAAAGATCAGGAACTTTCTAATACTTATTTCTTTTCCATTTTGTAGTGACAGTCAGTTCCAGAGGTGATTTTAGGAGGAGGATTAAAGTTTCAACACTGTTTTTGAGCACAGACCAGCCTTTAATGTCACTGATGCTTGACATGACTAGCTGCTTCAACTCTGATACTCTGCTGTCTTGAATCATCTTTAGTCATTTAAAATGAGTGACATAAAAAAATGCATAATGAACAAGAAGGCTATGAAAAGATGGATAAGACTGCTATTTAACACTGATTAAATAAATGTTGAGGGTTTTGGTTTAATCCATCATTTAACAAGTCAGATTCCTAAAGGGCATCACATTCTTTCTACCACAACAAAATGAAATTGGTTTAAAGAAAGAATGAAAAATATTACAATATTAAATACTTTGATATCTTTAAAACATTCAGGCAGGTGGACCTGCTGTCATGCATCATCTCTATTTTTACCAAGACAAGTCAAATTTGCATGCTTCAGGATAGGTTGTCTTCCAAATCAAGTTCCCTTTTTAAACACAAAAGTTGAGGAGAAAAGCAGTGAAATTGGGGTAGGATTTTAAATGGATATCCTAAGTCAAAGAAAGAAGATGAATCTGTTTGTTCTTCTGTTCCACCATCTGATTTGTCATGGACAAGCAGAGAAAAATGTTTAACATTTTATTTCACTTCTTCCATTTTCTTTTTTGACCAAAAATGTAATTTTTTATTTTGACCAAAAAAAATGATTCCTTCAAAACAGCCACCCTTTATAATCTTAGGGAAAATCACTGACTAGACATTACCTAGCTGATCATCTGGGGGGAAAAAAGTGTGAAAAAAATGTGTAATATTGTTTACCAAAGGCTAAAACCTTTTCTAATTGCATGTGATGGTTCTCAAGAGGCTTAGTTGGACGTGTGCTAATTTATATACCAGCGTGGATTTTGGAGTTACATTTCTGACTATAAAAACCCAGGGAGTCTGTTAGTTGAGTACCTTTTAGTACTTTGGAACAATATTTGCTTTTTTTTTTTTTTTTTTGTGCGTGTGTGTGAATAAGTTAAAAGTCTTTAAATGATCAGTGTATCTGCTATTTCAAAGAGGAGAAAGGGGCTAATGGGTGATAGTCACACAGCAGTGTTCCTTTCAATGTGCATTTCTGGTGGCTTTCTTTAGTGAAAATCTTAATAAACCCCCAAGTATTTTACCTAAAACCTAATCTGTCTTCAGCTCCACATATGCAAGCAGCTGAAATCCATGTTATACCCCTCTATTTAAGCATGTAATTGTTTCTTCAGGACATATCATGACTTTCAAACTGACTGACCAGTGCATTCAGAATTGCATTGGGAAATGTTTTATCCTGTGTAGAAAATATTAGTCAAATACAGTGAATGCTTTACATATGTTAGCATGATTTATTCAGCCTTTTGTGCTCTGCTTTGAATTGTGCTGTTGAAGTACCACGTGACCTTGAGGTATCTGGTGCTCATGGCCAGTGTGCCTCTTCCCCACCTCTTACCTGGACGGTGCTGCTGCCTGGAATTCTACAAAAGAGCAAAGATATGGGAGGCCAGTAGGTACAGAGATAACAGTAAGTGAGATGCTGAACTCTCAGGTATCACCCAAGACAGCTGAAATGGCAAAAGAGGGAAGTAAATCTCTTTTTTCTTCCTAAAGAGGTGGGGAGAAAGAGAGTTTCAGTCTGTTTGGAGTCTATTCCATCACAACTTTTGATTTATTCTTTTAGGAGTATACTGTGCAAATTAACTGCATGCCATAAAAGTAATATGTACATATTTTAGTTGTATATTAAAAAGAAAAAAAAGAACTTCCATCTCAGGCTCTTTAGATTTAGCATAAGCTGTCACAGGGTTCTCTTTTCCCTTTGTATAGACAACATCAGCAAATCGGACGAAGTATTATGTGTCCTACCGTCGAAATGGCTTTGTACAGATGAAGTTGCCAAAATACGCACTGCCAAAAGTAAGTATACACATTTTTATTTCTATTTATATCTATTTGTTGTCTTATCTTTCTACCTAAACTAGTTTTGTTCTTTTCTTTTTTAAACCTCACTATTCTGAGATCACAATTTCTTCTTGTAAGGATTCCTGAATCCTATTTGTGGTATATTTTTATCCTACTGTTTTTATTTTTATTCTAGGAATGTGGTAGCTCATAAATCATAGAGGACAAGGACATATGACAGCTTCTTTGTTATCAGTTATCATAACAGTTTTTGAGCTTTGCTTCCATGACGTAGTGCTTCACACCCAAAGGCAATGTATTGATATTGAGCAATTGTTCTTTCAAGAATCAATTACAGTTTAATCCCACATGGTGCTTTCTGGTATAAGTATGAATATTAATATAAGAGAATCTTACCAGTTTATGGTGCTCTATTTCATTAAAGAATCCCGATATAGTCTTTAATTTCTTAAAAAAATCTCAAGACTTGTTGAGAGGTTCCTTCAGTCTTGCGTATTTTTATAGTGACAGAGTTTATATATTTGCATAGGAAATCAACAATAAAGCACAGACATATTTACATATTGTCTGACTGATGCAATTGAATTTTTGTGCTGCACACAGTGTGTTTCCTAACTTTATTTATAGTTAGAAGGCTTCTGCAGTCCTGAAGAAAAATAATTTAGAAGTTTTAAAGGCCCAGCTGGATAAAGCCCTCAGTGACCTGGTCTGGCCTCACAGCTCACCCTGCTCCCAGCAGGAGGTTGATCTGGAGACCTCTTGAGGTTCCTGCTTTTTCATGTGATTCTGTCATTTACTTATCAGAGAACTAAGACATGTTACCTTTGCATATGTTGAATTGCACAGGTTTAATTTATTGCTCATCTAATGAAGGACAGTGGAGTACAATGTAGTTCCTTCTCTTGTTATTGTTATGAAATAAATAATGTGTTTAATATATTTTTTTGCCTTTAATTTTTTTTTTTTAATTATTTTTATTTTAGTCCAGGTTGTGGTCTGAAGTCTTCTAGTTTCAAATGTACGACATATTAACAAAATCCTCAAATCAAATCCTCAGATATTAGTTAAACAATAATCTGAAATTTGGATATACTTCTACTAGCACTGTAAAAATAGCTATATATTTATTTATCAATTTATCTATCTATTTTGACAAAAAATGTATAACCAAGTACAGGTAAATATATCAAATCTTCCACTTGATATTTCAGATATTTTAAGGACTTCAAAGTAAACTTTATGCTTTCTTGGGGGAAATTATAGTTAGAAAAGCAGCAGGAGAATATCCAGTTTTAAATGTTAAAACATGCCAGATGTGGAAATCCCAAGGGATTGCAGCCCATGAATGACCCACACTGGGAAAAAAAGAACACAAGTAAGGAGCAAGGGAGCAAAGCAAAGAATAAGCAAGGAACAGCATAAAGAAACCCTTTCGTAGATGACTCCAACCTGCAAGGCCCATTGCCTTACTAAAGGAGTTGACAGGAACCAAATTAACACAAACTGGAAACAAAGTATTTGAGAGTAGGAAGGGCAGAGAAAAAGTGTTTGATTAAGCTGAGCCTAGAGAAGGGGGATGAAGGATGTTTCCCTAAGCGTTTGTTTATATATTCTTTTTTTTTTTCCTCAATACCCAAATCAGTAATTTAAAATGTGCATTAGCTGGCAATAAACTAAATCAGGTAACACTCCCCACGTTGTGAATGCTTTGCCCTCAACAAATTTCCTGAAGAAGTGTTGGCACATTAGAGCAAGCATTGACTATGCTCACTTGTGTGGGAAAATGTTATGTGTTGGGAATTGGAAGGGCAGAAATCGTGCAAGAGAAACCAGGGCGTTTCTTCCTCTGCTTCTGGATGGCTTGTGCTGGAAGAATCTGTACCTTTCCATTGCGGTTTCCTTCTCACACCCAGGAATCTGCATTTGACCAAGGCAGCACCATTTGTCATTCCTGAAACTGCCGTCACACAGAAGATGGACATACTAACTCAATTTTTTAAGAGTTGTACAGAGTGTTACGATTATAAATGGTAGTTCAGATTCCATGTGTTGATGATTACTTCAAGCATTCAGGAAAATGAATTATTTTTAACAAGTTGGATGTCTACTGCACCTCCTTAATGACACATGCCTCTGATTTAAATATGAATAATGCAGTACCCTATATTAATAAAGGGCATGTTATTTGAGTTCAGATCTAGCTATCTGTCAGGTCTGAATAAATCAGTGTCAGAACTCAAGAACTATATGAGACTATTCTCTTGTAGGCATCCACATTTGTGATAGGTGTGCTTGCATCAGTTGTAAAGGAGAGCAGCAGATGTTACGGGAGGGCTTCTCAGTTCTGGGAGGGGAAAGGGAGAGTGAGCCATCTAAGCTCAAACAATGACATCACACAATGGGTGACCTGGATCTCTGTCCTGTGGAGCTTTCCTTGGCAGCAAAATCAGTTTAAGTCCTCCACAGTCGTTTATTTCTACTATTCAGCACCCCACAATGACCTCTGTTGTGTTTGAGACCAGACTATAAACAAGATCAGTGTAGTGATCTCAGTGAAAAATAACCCTGAAAAAAGTGTAATTTGTTTTTCAAGAAGGCAGATCAAGAGGCAACATGACTGTAGTGAAAAAGCCTCCTCATGAGGAGAAAATGCTGAATCTTAAAAGTGCTTTAGTAGAGGAAGACCCAACATAGCTAGGAGCTGAATCCAAATTAGAAAGTCAGCTCAACTTCTTAATGGTGTTGATGATTATGTATTTGAAAAAATGCCAAGGAAAGTGACAAATATTCTAGGTTTTCAAGTTTTCAAATCATTACTGAGTGCCTTTCTGGGACGTTTGCTCTAACCATATAGAAGTCATTTATTTGCTCCTTGTGCATCTTATAAAATATGGAGGAATAATTGTTGGAAATTGTCTGGATGGAAAGATCATAGAGAGTGAACTAAATGATCTAATCATCACTTTTAGTCTTAAAATGCATTAATCTGCAAAGGGTGCTTAGGTTACTCGGCATATGCTCTTACTGAGTGCATTTCTGGCATATTCAAAAAGTGTCAGTCATAACTCCCTAGTGTTTCTATCATATGTAGTCTGGATTGTTTGAAATAGTGCTACATGCTGAATTCTTTGTCTTGGAAAATGTGGTTTTTGTTTTGTTTTTTTTTGTTTGGTATTTTTTTTTGTTTGTTTGTTTTTTGTTTGTTTGTTTGTTTGTTTTTTTTTTTTGCTAAGCAGATTAACTCCAGACTTGACTGCATAAATAAATTAGAAGTTAATGATTTCATTTTGGATGGAGTCAAAAGCTAGCTAGGAACAGGATGACTGTGTCATTTGGAAAGGGATGTTATTGTGTTCTTCCTAGTTCAGGCAGTACACGATGAGTGGAATGAAATAAACTGTATCTTTTTAGCATTTTGATGATGCCTTCAAGAGAAGTTTCTTTGGTATCTGCACACAACAGAGCTGAAAATTTCACTTAGAGGGACTGGAAGCCAGACATCCATTAGAACAGTGGTGAATGTGAGAGATTTTAACTTCTTCTGTAAAAGAAACTTTTTTTTTTTTTTTTTAAGTGATTTGGTACCTTCACAGAAAAATTGGATACTGAAGTAAATAAGAACACAGTTCTGAAGTTTTTTATCACACTGTATTTTAGTGAGAATCATCCAAGTGCTGTAGAAGTGGATCTTCCAATCCATTTTGAACAGAAGGGGAAATATTCATAAGAGAAAATTACTGATGAAATTTTGCAAAGAAGCAGTATATCAGCAAAGACACTGCCACCTTAAGTGTACATCTAGAACACATAACTGTGTTCAGTTATGCGAGTTAGTGGAGTTGCTACTTTTATGGTGGTAGGAAATAAGCGGAATGAAAGAATTTACAGGTTTCTTTTGTTTGTTTGTTTGTTTGTTTGTTTTTAAGATTGATTAAAAACAATAGGTTTTGAAAGAACTGAGTTTCAGGGGTTTTTAGGTATTAGATTCTGCCTCACCAGGAAATCAAGTGGGTCTGAGATAGGCTATATTTTATTTGTCTCAGAAGAATTGAATGAGGCTTCAAAAATCTTTTTCCAAGTGCTTCATGTCACTGGCCAGAGTTTTTTAACAGTGATTGTTTACAGGGGAAGAAAACTGTAGCCAAGTTAGAAGATACTACAGGCTGGTCAAGGATGTGTCTAACAACATTAAGAGAGCTGTGCTGGCCTGAGGGAACAGTGCTGGCCTCTTCAGATATTATTATTTTGCTGCACAAATGCATTTCATGGTGATTTTACATATGGGGATAGAATTTATGTTTTCAGACTGAGTAATTAGAAAATGCTATTGATGTCTTGTTTTCCTTTTGACATGAAGAGGTTGAAAATCTGCAAATAAAATATTCAATTGCTTTATATTGTTTGTATTTGCATTTGTGTTTGTATTTGCCTAAATGTACCTCCAAGGAGAAACCTAGAAAAGGATAAATGTTTGTCTTTGGGCATATCTCAGGGTGTTCTTATTTGTGAATCAATGGCTGCCAAAAGCAGCTTCCAGCCAGCTTTACATGTTCTGAGTTTCTAGGCTCCAGCTCCACAGTGCCACTTAGATCACCTTTTTGTAACAAATCGTAGCTCCAGCTCCGTATATGTACAGAGAGCAGAGCCATAGGGGCCATCTAATGACCAGAATTCAGATTTCTTTTTTTACCTTTTTTCCATGCTGTTGAAAGATTTTTTAAATTTTATTTTTTAGTAGCATATTTGATACTGACACTACATTGAATCACACAGATGTCTCCTGCATTCGACAAGAATAAGGTGCTAGCTGCTGCCAGGCAGGGTGGTAACAAAGGTTGATGAGACCATATTAAAGGCTGCCTGTATACTCCCCAAAACAGAAGAGGAAATTTGCATCTTCTGTTTTAAAGATGAATTGGTTTTTATGCTACATTCCATTTTACCAAGATTGCTTGTTCTCTGCTGCTAAAACTAGATCAAAAGTTAATAACTTG